GGGGGGGGGCGGGGGGGGGGGGACTGGCCCAAAATCACCCAGCTGGCTTTCATGCCTAAGGGAGGTCTAGAATTCAGTGGCCAAATTGGGTTCAGATCACTGTAAGCTCTTCTTTTCTGCTTATTTCTAAAGGGCTGTATCCCTGCATCATGATAGAATTGTGCCTGTGTGTGCAGCAGTGCCTGGAATCGTTTTTCAAGGTTCTAGAACAGGCCTTTATGAAGAGTTTTTTTAAAAATTCTCCTCCTTGGTCCCTCTGTTGCTTCTGTCCTCCCAGCAGGAAAGGATAAGATGGTGGGGATCTAGCCTGGGGCGCTCTCTGCTCACACAGTGCCTCCCCTTTTTGCAAAGAGGCTTCCTCTTGTCCCCAGGAGGGCACTTTTCAGGGCAAGGTGTCCCACGGTCACCCGCTTTGTTTGGTTCACAGCTAGCAGTGATGACATGACCCTGACAAGTCCTAGTATGGACAACTCCAGCGCAGAGCTGTTGCCTGGGGGGGAGTCTCCAGTGAACAAGCGCATGACGGAGAACCTCCTGACAAGCCTCTCAGAGCATGAGCGGGAAGCAGTTCTCAGTGTCCCGGCAGCTCACAATCCGGAGGATCTGCGCACGTTTGCCAGGTAACAAGGGAGCGGAAGGCCTGCTATTTAGGGGCTTTGCTGAGTACGGCCGTTGGCTTGGACTCTGCGGAAGCTTTTTGTCAGGAAGCCTGGCATTGGGTGCATGCCAGGCTTACCCTTCTGGGTGGGGACTCGGTGAACAGGCTGCTTGGGCTCTGGGCCAAGATCCAGGGTGCGTGGTGCCTGTTGTATTCTGGTTGCTTATGCGGCTGCTGCTTCGCTACAGGCGCGGCTGCAGAGATGCAGAAACACAGCTCTTTTCCCCCTGCCCGTTTTGCAGGCTGCTTCACTATTTCCGGGGACGGCACCACTTGGAGGAGATCATGTACAATGAGAACATGCGCCGCTCCCACCTGCTTATGCTCTTTGACAAGTTCCGTAGTGTGCTGGTGGTGACCAACCACGAGGACCCTGTCATCTCTGTCTTTCAGTCCCTCCCTAAGTGAGGAGGGGGCAGCTTGCTTGGGCCAGGAAGGAACCGGGTGGAGTTCCGTGGCCCAAGGACTGAGACGCTGCTTTCTCAGGTTGTGAGGAAGCACCTTGTCCTTGAAATTACAGAAGGCCTGTTCTTTGGGCCAGGAGCTTTCTCCCAGATGTTGCTGTCTGGTCGCCTTGCATTTTCTTCCCTGGGGGGCTGCAGCCTTCTTTGGACCCCATGGCATCACCTGCAGCGAAGGGGGGAGGAGGGAAGGAGGGCTTGCAGAGATGAGACTCAGTGTAGCAGTGTGGTCTCCCCATCCCAAATTGTGGAGAGGGGGAAAGAGCTGTTCTTTGGTTTTTAAAGGCAGGAAAATGTGCACTTCAGCAATGGAAAGGGTGGGGGACCTAGGAATGAACCCCTTTGGTGAAATAGTGCCTGCAGACTTCCCTTCTGCCAGAGTTTGGATGCTCACGTTAAACAGTGGGTGGGTAATGGAAGTCCATGGCCCAGAGCCCTCCCTGCCCTCTACCACCTCTCTGAAACCATCCTGCAGTTGGTGCTTCTGCTTAAGTGCCACAGCTCTGGCGTTGCCAGCTCAACCAGTTTTCCTGGGATTGCCTTGGTACAAAGAGGCTACACTTCAGGATCAGGTGGGTTTATCTAGCAAAGCGGGTCTGAGGCTGCGCGCGCTTTCCTTCCCTCTGATTATTTTGCGCAGCTGGCTCCACTGACCACAAACGGAGGAGAGTAAAACATGTTTATTTACATAAATAAATCTGAAACAGCACTTCTAGTCCTCTGCTGGCATCAGTGTTCATGCCCGTTCAATACTGCACGTTAAACCCATTTCTTTACGTGATGGTGCTATGTGGTACCAGGGGGCTTCCCCTCTGCTTTTTTATCGGTGATGCTCACACACTTATTGCCCTGGAGGTAGAAGCGCAGAGGCTTCTGGGCCCACTCCCCACTGATGCCGATGCGTGTGGTGCAGATGAGGACTTCGTCTCCAGGAGGTTCCAGTCGAGGCTCCAGCCAGACGGCGGAGTTGCAGGCCAGGTCCTTCTGATCAAAGCTCCGATCGATGGCCAGGGCCTGGCAGAGTTTGGAGGGCCCGTTGCACAGCTGCCAGTCCTTGAGAGGCCGGGCACCCCCTCTCTGCCGAGCCAGGCGCAGCTCCCTCATGGCGTCCAGGCCCTGCAGAGGCTCCAGGGAGCGCAGAAGGACTGCCGCTCCTTCCCCTGCACGGAAGGTGAGCAGCACCACTCTTGGCCAGGAAGGAAGCTCTCCCCGGGCTACCGCTCTGGAGCAAGAGGGCGCTCTTGGAGGTCTGCTTGGCCAGACAACGGCCGCTAACCGCAGCTGAGAGGGTGGGCAGACTCCAAATCCTCCCCCCTGGAATGAGATGCCTCCAGGGAAGCCCCTTGCGGGTCCCGGGATTCACCCTGTGCAGGGTCTGGGCACGCGATTAAAGTGGGGAGGGGGTGCTGGAGACAGCGCGGGGGGGCTTGGGCGCTCCCCCGGGACCTGCTGCTGTCTTCTTACCTTGGCTGGAGACGTTCATGCAGAAGTAGATCCCGTAGATCTGGTACACGTAGAGCGTGCCCGGCTGCATGAACATGGCTGCGTTCCTTGCGGTCCGTCGCCCCCCCCTTGAGTGGGAAGCGGTGTCTTCCCCTCCCAAATAGGCTTCCGTTTCAACAATCCGACCCCGGAGCTCTCGCCCGTCCGGGAGCTTC